CCTTCTTTTTTTTTTTTTTTGTAGAGGGGCAATTCTTAAACAGATTAGGGGCTAGGAAAAGCTAGAGGCCAGGGCCCTACTCTGGGAGAGAAGGCAGCTCTTGTGTTTCCGTCTCCACTTCCTTGGGCTCTAAAGGACTAACTCATGTGCCTCCTCCCGGTTGTTTCAGATTGCCCAGCTGCCCTTGACAGGAAGCATGAGTATCATCTTCTTCCTGCCCCAGAAAGTGACTCAGAACTTGACCATGATAGAAGAGAGCCTCACCTCTGAGTTCATTCATGATATAGACCGAGAACTGAAGACTATCCAGGCGGTTCTGACCATCCCTAAACTGAAGCTGAATGATGAAAGCGAAGTCACCAAGTCCCTGCAGGAGATAAGTACGTCTGCAAGATCTGTTTGCTGGTGGGAAGGAGAACAAGTCTTTGAGTCTTCCCCTTGCTAAGCAGAGCTCAAGAGCTCCAAGGTGTTGTAGGGAGGCTATGGATGATCCCTTAATTCTAACAGTGCTGGAGCAGGAAGATGGACTGCTTTCTCTTTAACACTCATTCTCCAACCCCATGAGCACATATCCTACAGCAGGAGCTAAGAACACTGCTTCTCCAGACTGGTATTTGACTGCTTTCGAATCCTAACCTCACTGCTATGTGCTCTTGAGCAAGTCACTTAACCTCCATCAAGCTCAGAGCCATGTATATCTCACAGAAAGTCAAAAAATGTGCTCTACTCCAAGACTGCTAGCCTTCTTGGGAATTGGGATTTAAGAATCAGGATTATATTCTTCCTTGGGGTTTAGGGCAAGGCAAGGTTTTAATGAAAATCTCTTTCCACCTCTGCAGAGCTCCAGTCCTTGTTTGATTCACCAGACTTTAGCAAGATCACAGGCAAGGCCATCAAACTTACTCAAGTGGAACACCGGGCCGGCTTTGAGTGGAATGAGGATGGGGCAGGGAGTACCTCCAACCCCGGGCTCCAGCCTACCCGACTCACCTTTCCCCTGGACTACCACCTTAACCAGCCTTTCATCTTTGTACTGAGGGACACAGACACAGGCGCCCTTCTCTTCATAGGCAAAATTCTGGACCCCAGAGGCACTTAGTGTTCTAGCATAATGTTCAAAATACCTAGGAGAAAATAAGCCCAGAGGGATGGCAAGTTATATATTACACGAAGGTTGCTCCTGTAATGTTTCAGTGTATTCTTTGCAATAAAAGAGCTTTGTCCTTAACTTCTGTTACCTTGTTCTTCCCTCCTCTTCTGAGCCACATTGACTATGAAGTGATATATGCCATTTAGGAACTTGCTGGTCTTATAGCCTGGTTCTATGTGAACTCAGCAGAAAAGTCACATCTATAAGAACTTCTGCTTATCTCCAGCAAAAAGCAGGGAGTGCTTCTCTGTCCTAGAGGGTGGTCATGTACCACTACCCCCAATCCCTGCCCGAGGAGGGTATCTCTTCCACCACAATCACTGGAGCACAGTTTCTCAGGTTTAACGCCAGCTCAGGTCATCTCAGTCAAGCTAACCTTACGTGTGATGAAACAGGATAACACATGGGCAGATAAGAGAGCAACCTGTTACTTTAGGAAATAATTACTTTATAAAGCATTAAACAAAGTTCTCAAGCATGAATAAAGCAGGACCTGATATATAAACCTTCCAAAGACGTTCTTTTTAAGGAAGTATGCCTATCTTACTTACATAGTACCACAGACCCTTTTTTGGGAAACATGAGACATGCCAGGTGTTTGGAAGAGAATTACTATAGAATTGTTCATAGAGCTAATTTTTTTTCCCCCTTGGAAAAATGAGCTCTACCAAAAAAAAATATATATATATATATATATATATATATATCACCAAGAAACCCTATTGTTGTAGAAAGAAGGATAAATGAAATTCTGTCCTTCATTCAACAACTGTTTGTGAGCCGCTTCCAGACACTTCCTGAAAAGCTTCCTGAAAAGCACCATCATGGCCATTCATTTCCTGGTTATAAAGCCATGGCAACCAACTGGCACTACTTGGGCATGGCCAGGGTTGGCATGCTCTCAAAGCAGAGTAGTCCTGGCAATCTTTCCCACTATCTCAGCTGAACCACTTGGTAATCAGCACTCAGACCCCGCCAGCCTCCTGGCCTCTGACTGGGCTGGGGTCTGACAGATGTCAGTCCCTGATTCATGGTGGCCCCACACACCAGTGCGATGGGGCCACTGTGATCCCTAGAGTTTTCTCTGGCTGAGTTTTGGAAGCTGATTGGCAGGCTTTTTTTCCTACTCTTATTCTGAAAGTTCGGTTGAAACTAGTTTGCAACATAGCAGCACACAAACCTCCCTGACAGTCAGGTGGTGACTGCCTGAGACGCAATGGCCAGGGATCAAACCCAGGTCTCCTGCACGGAAGGCAAGAATTCTCCCACTGAACCACCACCGTCCTCCCACTGGGATGGGGCCCGGACCATACAACACATCGAGGTGGAAGGCAGCTGTCATCCCTACCTTCTGTCTCCTGAATTTGAAAGCACAGGCACAATGCCCATACCCTTGGCATCTCCTGAGCTCCCCTTCCCTTGCCTTTCTTGGCACTCATGCAGACTGTATTTCATTTGCAAGCTTGGCATGGTCTGGGAGGGGGAAAAAGTCTCTCTTCAGTCTTGCTACCAAATAGAAGAACTCAGAAATGAGACTCATGTGTTGTAAACAAAGTAGTACAAGTTTGATTTTGAGTGTCTGATGAGTGAGTGTGCCAGGAGTATAGAATGAAAGTCAGGTAAGAAGGCTTGAAAACTGTAAAAAGGAATCTAGAGTTGCCATCCCAACAATAAAATGACTCCATATTTATTTCCCTAATTCACAATTTCTATTCCATCAGTTTTTTTTTTTTTAATTTAAT